ACAAAGTTAAACGATAAGTAATAGGTAGTATAACAGCAGGCCACCTTTCTTGTCTTCGTGCTTTGGTAAATTGTCGTAAAGCATGGTGTCATGCTTTGGCGATGTCCGCCACATAACGGACGAAAGCTCAGCAAGGATTCATCGAGATCACGGGAAGGTGAGCCGAAGACTTATTCGCTCATAGTCAGTCAGAGCTCTAAAGCGATTCACCTCCGGCTCCAGGTGAGTCCAACTTACAAGTCCCTTCCACTCGCCTCTTCAAACGAAACTAAATAGACCATCTATATATTAAGGGATTATTGGAAAACCTGTTTTTTTACATATTCATACAAAATTAATTACAAGGATTCAAATATGTACATATTTGGAAAAACACTAAATAAGATTTCATAAAAGCGGGAGGCTGTGGAATATTAATAAAGCGACTCACTTATTGAGGGCATCGAAAGCTGACGCCTATAAAGGCGATCGATTCTTTTAAGTTGAGACTGAAGGCGATTGCTTAATACTTCAATCTATAAGCATCAAAAGATATTATTATTTTTTGTTGACATATTTGGTCTAGTAAGCAAAGGAAGAGAAAATGACACAGCTATAATAAAAAAGAGAAAATGTCCTAAAAAAGCATACTAGCAAGGAATAGCAAAAGAAAAGAAAAGGGATCTTCTTCGCCGTTAATTATTTTTAGTTATTGGGAGAAAATATAGGAGAAAGTATATAAGCTAATGGTTTTATAAGGATCTAGTCTCAAATCCTTATCAATATCCATCTGAACAGAATTTGCCGGCATTATCGACGCGCCCATAGACCACACTTAGCAGGAACTCTAACCTATTATGACGAATTAGGTTAAGTTGTATATAGACTTGCCCTTATGAGGCTCTATTTGCATGTTAGTAATGGCCATGCTATTTTCCACCATGTTAAAATCGTGGAATACTATTAAAGAAACAATACGACTGACCTTATCGGAGGCCTCTCCACCGACGCTTGCTGCAGCCAGATGCCGCTGAATTTGTGCGAGCACTATCATTTCAAATTCTCTGGCAACCTCCCAGAGGATAGCTCCAGTGGCAACATTGAGACCTTGGCGCGCAAGAGCATTTTCGTAAATTTTGCGCACGTGGTCGAATTGAGAATCGGTTGTATCGCTCCCCTCTTGTAAGGTCTGTTCCGTAGCCATGCCATCGATCGCGAAATGACAAGCCTCCAGCCAAATGTTTACGTCTATGGCATCACAAGTAAAAATAACGAATACTAAAGACGCTCGCAATCTTAACACAAGAGCAAAAGCTGAACAATGTGCAGCAAGAATCGTTTAAAGCAAATTAAAGCCAAAAGTAAGCG